CATAGCAGTGGATCTCCTACTAACTTGGCATCCCATGAAATTGGAATCAGAATACCGATGATCTCCAACTGATTCGATCTCCTGTATGTGAGTATATAGTCTTTTGTTCTCTGTAAATATCGTATGACCCGTTTGGCTGCTTTCTAATGATCCATTCTCGGGTCACTTTTATATCTCCTTAGTATCCCAATAATGTAGGCTATATCCGAATGCGTACAAATCTGAGCATACATCAAATCTCTATAGCTGAAGAATAACGAACCTTCTACATTTCTTTAATTTCTAAGTCATTTTGGGGTATTGACTTAAACTGAACTTGTCTCCTTTAGCCACAAGGATGTCACCTGGTTTACAATCTTACATGCCATATCTTTTAAGTACCTTTTCAATATAGTTTTTTTGTGATAATCGAAGAATACCCCGAGAACGATCTCAGTATATCTGAATTCCTAATACAAAAGAGGCTCGACAAAATCTTTCGTCTCAAAATTGTTTGCTAGAAATCTCTTGGTTTCGTACAATAAGCTTATATTGTTGCTGGCAAGCAATATGTCATCGACATATAAAACCAAAAAATGTACTTGCTCTCACTGAACTTGTGGTATATACAATATCGACCAAATTCATTTCAAAGCCAAATGAGATGATCACCTGATGAAACTTGTAATACCATTGACGAGACGCCTGTTTGAGTCCATATATGGATTTCTTTAAGTTACAAACCATTTGCTTTACATCATCTGATACGAAGTTTTCTAGTTGTATCATATAAATTATTTTTTCAATGTCACCATTGAAAAACGCTGTCTTAATATCCATCTGATGTAACTCAAGATCGAAATGCTACAAATGCCATTATAGTCCTGAAAGATCTTTCAAAGAAACCGAAGAGAAAGTCTCTTTATAATCGATGCCTTATTTCTGTGTAAAGTCCTTTGCGATAAGACGAGCTTTAAACCTCTCTATATCACCCTTCGAATCCCTCTTGATCTTAAATATCCATTTGCAACCAATGAATTTTACACTTTTAGGCAATGGATCGAGGTCTCATACGTCATTGTCCTTCATGGGCTTTATCTTTTCATTCATGGCATCGAGCCACTTTTGAGAGTTAGAACTTTTCATGGCTTGATAGAAGGTTATCGGATCATCTTCTGCTATTCCAATGTCAACTTCATGTTCTTGGAGAAATATGATGTAATCATCCGAAACTGTACTTCTCCTCTCTCCAGTGGATCTTCTTAATGGCATTGGTTCTTGAAGCTATAGAGTTTGTTCTTCTATAATAATTTGTTGACTTTGAAAAGGAGATACAACATTATCTTGATCAAGAGTTGCTTTTTGAACAATGTCAGGGATAGAAACCTGATTGTTGTCAATAGCAATTAGAGGAATTTCAGCATATTCCTCCTCAAAGACCTGTAACCCTTTCTCCCCCGCAAACTCAACATTCTCAAAGAACCGAGCATGTCCTGTCTAGAAAATTACCTTAGTTGTGGGATCATAAAACTTGTAGCCCTTGGATCTTTCAGATATCCAATAACATAGTAACTGATGGTCCTTGCGTCCAATTTCTTTTCATTTGGCTTATAGGGCCCTGCCTCAGCTGGACATCCACAAATGTGTATATACTTCAAACTAAGCTTCTTGCTGTCCAAAGCACATAAAGGGTTTTATCAGGAGCCTTAGTTGGAACTCTGTTGAGTATATACGCTACGATCTTTAATGTTTCATCCTTGAGAGATTATGGCAAGGTAGAATGACTAATCATACTCCTCACCATGTCCTTAAGTATTATGTTATGTCTTTCAGCAACACCATTCATAGTGGGCGAATCTGGCATAGTGTAATGTGGAACGATGCCGCACTCCTCTAGGAATTTAGCAATTGGTCCTGGACGTTGTTCACCTGAACCGTCATATCTACAATAGTATTCACGCCCACGGTTAGATCTGACGCTTTTAATCCTTTTGCCGAGTTGGTTCTCAAATTCAACTTTAAAATTTTTGAACACATCCAGAGATTGCGATTTTTCATGAATGAGATATATTTAGCTATATCTTGAAAAGTCGTCTATGAACGTTATAAAATATTGTTGACCATTCTAAAAATTCGTAGGGAATGGTCCACAAATATCCGTATGTATAAGTTCTAAGACGTTTGAAGTCCTATTGGTTTGAAATCTCCTTTTATTGTTTTGTTTTCCTTTTATACAATTAAAACACAAATCATAATTTGTGAAGTCAAGAGGATCGAGAATCCCGTCAGACACAAGTCTCTTAATTCTCCTCTTGGAGATATGACCTTATCTCTTGTGCTACAATGCAGCAGAATTCTCGTCAGTTAATTTTCGTTTTACACCTTGAGTACTACATGCAAAAGTTCATTAAAAGAAGCAATTCTATCAATTAAATAAAGATTATCGTAACCTAATAAAGAACCATAACCAATTAATTTTGAATCATGAAACAAACTGAATTTTCCATTCCTAAATAAACAAGAATAACCATATTTGTTCAAAGTAGAAATAGAAATCAAATTTCGTCTAAAAGATGGTACAATCAATGTTTCATCCAAATAAAATTCAGTCTTTAACAATAATCTAAATTTTCCTATTGCCTCTACTTCCACCGTTTTGCCCTCACCAACATAAATATATCTTTTACCATTACTTGATTTTGAAAACTCAAGCAACCTTACATAAACACACTGATGTGAGTTGTTGCACTAGAATCTATCCACCATGTGTATCGAGATACCAAAGTTAAATTAACCTCAGAACAAACCAAATGAAGAAGAATACCTTTCTTCACACGCCATGCATGATAATTGGTACAATTCTTCTTTTTATGACTTGCAGCTCCACAGAAGAAACAACCACCCTCAGTTTGTTCCTTTTGTTGTTTTTTTTTGTGATGCTGTATCCACAACTTCCTTATAAGTTTTTCATTTTCCTTTATACCTCATTGAAGTAAGGTTTGCCAAAAGTGTACTAGTTTCAGCATTTTCATTCTTGGCAAATCTCTTCTCAAGATCCTTAAGGAAAACTTTAGCCGTGTTTACTTCATTAGACATAGTGTCCCGAAATGGTTTTGAAATAGCACGTTTCATGACCATTAAGTTTATGCGGTTCGATCTTTCCCACTTTTCCATCTCCCTCTTGTCATCAGAGGTACTCTCATCAGTAAGTTTAGTAGGTTAGTCAACCCGTAAAGTGAGATCTAGGTCCATAACTCTGAGAACGATCAATACATTCTCTTGCCATACCTTGAAGATCGTGTCATTAAGAATTGGAATTGAGTTGATGCTAGTAGAGATATTAGCAGCATAACTTGAAAATGAATTAGAGAACAATTATTATGAATGGTTCACACGAATATCTTTAATATGCAAATAATAATAATATTCTCAAATAATGGCTAGGCCCAACACAAGAAACCTAGCACAACATCAATATCTAATTTTTGGACAGAAAGATTGACTTCTAAGTGGTACTCTTGGTGTAGCAATCAAACACTAACAATAAATATATGTCAATCAATAAACCTTTCTTTGGAGTGATTTATTGATCACACGTAAAATCAAACAATTGTCACATGTTTACCACCACAGGTGCATGTGAAATTCGGCCAAATATTGACCTTCCTTTGGGCCGATCAATATTCGCATGAATAACACACACACACACAAACACCTTTTAATATTCTAAGTTAATCAGTTTCTACAAGAGAGGTTGCTTTGACAACATGTTGCTTCAATTAACTAACTTTCGATCATTATATCTCTTAAAAGATTCCTTAGTACCAAAATTTGAGAAAGAAAACCACCAATTTTGCATATTTGATTTATTTTTAAACTTTAGGGGCCTTAAGGTTAATAATTCAACATTTTAGGGTGTAAAATTAATTAATTCAAAACTTTAGGGGCCAAAATTAATAAATTTAGAACTCTAGGGGCCAAAAATTGACCAATTCAAAACTTTAGAGATCAAATTTTGAAAATTTGAAACTTTGAGGGTCAATATGAATTAATTATAAACTTTAAGGACTTTAATTATAAAATTCAAAACTTTAATGGCCGAAATTAAATAATTTTCAAACTTTAGGGACTGAATTATTAAACCTACAACCTTGAAGGTTCAACTAGGATGGATTTTAAACCCTAGAGGCTGAAACTTAAAATTATATTTTAAAATCTGCAACCCTAACCCTAATATTAATTGCAAGGAAGGGCCTAAAATCACCAAAATTGTGACTTAGGCTCCGGCCCCCAAAATCCACCCCTAAACTTCTCTCTAGCGGCGCACACGAATCTGCAACCAAACCTAGTAGCGCGGAGAAAATCAAGTCCAAATGGCTTGATCCAATTACAAGGAATCAAAAATGAAGCCAAAATCCATAATAAAAATTGAATTCAATTGTTTCTAAATCCAATTTCATATCAACATGTGGCTGCCGAAATTAAATTTCTAAATAAATTGAATTCATTAATCATTCAAGGTGGCAGCCATAATTATATTGTTAAACAATTCATTCACAATTGAAATCCATAATATGAATGGATTCGTGGAATTGGCCATTTATTTTATTTCACAATTGAAATCGATAATATGAATGCAATTATACATTACATTCAACTGTACTAATTCACCCTTGTATGGCAGCTTTAATTGAGGATCGAATTCAATAACTTTTCAATTTTTTTTCTTCCCTAACAATTTCACAAATCTGATTTCTTACACTACACCAAAAAAGACCTTTTGCAGCGTTTTAGCGTATGTTGCGAAGGTTGATGTTGTTATTAAGGGACGAGTTTTTGTAGCATTTTTTCAACGTTGCAAAATACAGTCTTTTGCAGCGTTTAAACAACATTGCAAAAGGCAGTCTTTTGCAGCGTTGTTTCAACGTTGCAAACGACTAGCTTTTGCAACGTTTTTTCACCGTTGCCGTAGAATTCTTTTTTATATATAGTAAATTGACTTGCAAAATTGAAAATAACACTTTGTGAACAAATTTTGGAATTGCATAAAAATTAATAATTTCATTACAAATTTTTGAATCAATACACTTGAACATTAAAATGTAATACAACACCACCTAACTAAAAAGGAGTAAGGATTAAAGAGTTCTTGTTGCATCGTCTCTACAAACATAACTCAAAAGGGATAACAAATGGCGGAGCACAAAGAAAAACAGCTTCTTTCGTGTCAACTAGCCTATGATATTTCCCGAAATCGGGCAATGGCCTTCTTTTGAATAACAGCTTTATAACTATCTCTAGCCTACACTTCGAGTTTTAGATCCAACTCCTTAGGCTGATTCCCTAGTACCGCTCTAGTATCCATGACTTGAACTTGGACAAGCTCTACCATGCCACTTCCATCTTTCCCCAACCCCTAGTTATGTGATCAATAGGGAGAAACCAAACAAAAATTCCAGAAAGCAAAGTCAGATACTGAAATAAACAAAACGTACTGCCACTGTCACTTTAGAGCTGATGGATGCCAACAAGTTATGGTGCAAATGAGTCTCCAAAAGACCAGAGAATATATAGGACGACTTTGGAGAAAACAGCCTTAAGATTCTTGCCTCTCAAGAACAAGAAAAATATTCGACATAGTACTTACACAAAAGCAATTCAAATCGTTTACGAACAAACTTTACGTAAGCATGCACATAGATTTTGACAAGGGAACTTACCCATATTCGCTGACGGACATTTTTCTCAGGCCAAACATCGAATTATTCTGTGACAAGCATAGAAAACATGTAGCCCTCATGAAATGCATCTCTACTTCTACTCTTGAAAATCCATTCACCTAATTTATCCTGTAAGAAAATGCAATGGAGGAAAATAAGAGGACATAAAGTTTTCGGGAATGTTTTATATGTTGGATTGGACAACATGGAATATAATTAACAAAGAAGATGCTTTCACAACGTTATTTAGCACCACATACACAATAAAATTCGATAAGAATAATGCGTACTAACCCTAAGAGCTATTCAATGGCTTCTCCCGTAAATTTCTAAAATGGGCATTTTCAAAACGAAACCAAATTGACAAACCAATCTTCCTCATGCCATTATGCTTTTGAAATAAACAAGAAAATTTTCTTGCTACCATGGTCGAAAGATTATTAGAAAAATAAAATATCAAAAGCCAATAACCTGACAGATGGCATCATAATTATATCTACACTAAATAATCCATTGACCATGTTAAGCAGAATCTTTATCAACAACATTGCATAATCTCTAAATTCTCTACAATATGCAAATGAGATGTAGCTCAAGTGGCAAAGTTGAAGACCTATGGACCATGGGATTCATGCAATACCAATAAAGGACTCTTATTTGCCCTACTATATTATCAAATTATTTGAAATGTCAAGATTTACATACAATTAAGTCCATTAAGGCGCTGACATTGCAAAATATTTTCATGTTGCTCGAGATGTTAAAACCCCATTCAATAGAATTTAGACTTAAAACTTACATGTAAGGGGAGGGTTCCCAAGTGATTACATGTCCAAAAGTCAAGCCTTAAAAATATAAGACTCATTAGGGTTCTTACACTCCACTCATTTCAAAGTTAACGTCCGTGATGGACCATATTCTCAATGGGCTACATTAATAAACCCATCTTTTACTTTTAAGTAACCCTCCCTCCCAATTCATCTGTTGGCAATGAGGATCGTCCTGAGAATGGTGCCTAGTCTCATACAATAGCCATGGCCATGCTAGATTGGACTCACCCTCCAAACTTGTTTGTAATGAAATGGTGGTTAAGTATAAACCCACAAATCAAGGCCTTACTTTAGGGGAGTGGTTATCAGTTATCACTTAGAGTAAATGCAAACAAAGCATAGTCACAAGTGCATTGCTAGAAAAATGTAGTAATGAAGTTCAACATATCCACAATGAATAGATCACATTATCTTCTATACCAAAAGGTTTCTCTTACTGGTTTTATGCAATCCATAAACTATAACACAATAGTAACAAAACATTTTTTTTTTTTTTTTGTAATCATGAAATCCTAAACAATTTGGTCCATACATCAGAAACAAGAAGAAACCATGTATAGTGTAAATCCACTTACTACATCAGTATCCCTGTGAAAAATTTAAGTCCACATGAATAACCATCAAATTATTTATTTAACAGCAAAGGCCTATTGAAAATCAAGAACCCCCTCATCTAAAAGAATTATTGTCATGTTATTTAAGTCCACATGAATAATCATCAAATTATTTAATCATCCTATGCTCTCTACTCTGTTGTTACAAATGGTTTCTTCGGCATGGTCCAAAATGTTGTAAAACAAGAGAAAATATCAATAACCAGAGTGGATCATCATTATTCATTCTTGAAGAACAATATATTATATATTTATTTTTGAAATTTTCTTTCCCAAAGCCTCAATATTTTCTTATCTCCTTCCTTTATTAAATTTCACTTCACAGTGTATTCCACGCTTGTACACTGTCATTTCCAAAAAAATATTCACAATCCAGGAATCTATTTCTTCATAAACATGTTGTTTTCAAGCTCGTTTTAGGCTTGAATATGGGAGAAAGGCTTCGACGCCTCAGGCGTCAGATTTTCACTGAATCATGAAGGCAATAAATCAAGCATTTAGAGGCAAAAAAGTCGTCTCACCAAACTCTTGAAGTATCCCACTTATTCTCTATTTTTTATCATCCAAAAATAATAATAATAATAATAATAATAATAATAATAATAATAATAATAATAATAATAATAATAAGAATAATAATAATAATAATAATAATAATAATAATAATAAATAAATAAATAAATAAACCTCGATAAATTGATATAATTCCACGTTTATGTATTCAAGAAGTTTACCTTCCACCGAAGCTGACCTGATGGACAAGAGGGATCTTTTGCTATTGAAAATTGAAAGTGGAAAATGGAAAGAGAGCGAAGAAGGAGATACAGATGGAATCGAATTTGATAAGTGGCAAATAGATGGTAGGCATCGCAAGGTTCCAACGAAAGCCATTGTTTTTGCCCAAATGAACTCCACAAGACTATGCACGGTCACTAGTACAGAATACACACAAACATCCAATGTTTTTCCATTTTTGGGGTAATTTTTTGATTTATGATGGAGACCCAACCATGGCAATAACTTCATCTTCTCTGAACTGCGTGAGGATGAGAAGAGGGATTGGAGAGAGAAGATTTATGGTATTATAATGGGAGAGGAAGAATTGCCCGTGAGAAAGGAATTGTTAGGGTTGCATAATTGTAATTGTTCGATTTTTTATTTTTTATTTTTTGCTTAGCGGATCAAATCGGGTCAGTTTAAGTCGGTTTCCTTTTTGCAACGTTTAAAATCCATTGTGAAAGACCATTTTCGCAACGTTTTTTAAACGTTGCAAAAGGGTTTCTCTTTCGCAACGTTTGATAAACATTGCAAAAGATTAACTTTTCGCAACGTTTATCTTTTGCAACGTTTATCAAACATTGCGAAAGACCCTTTTCGCAACGTTTATTAAACGTTGCAAAAATAAAAAAATTTGCAACATTCAATAAACGTTGCAAAATAGTATATTTGCAACATTCACTTAAAAGATGTTGCCAAATCTCAATTTTAAACACCAATGGCAACATTCACTTATTAAAATTTTGCAATAGACACTTTTAGCAACGTTTAATTAATGAATGTTGCCTTTTATCCGCTGCCATTTATTTTATTTTGAAACTTTAAAATCCATAAACTAAAATCCCAAAAAACTTTAATTCGAATCAAATAAGGCGACCAAAAATAACATATCAAATTGTTTTCAAATTCAACAAAACTAGATCTAAAATTGTTGAATTTGAAACCTTGAAAATATTGCAAGAACCAAATTAAAATATTTGATTCTCAATGATTCAACATGAAAAGGCTCTTATACCACTTGTAAGAAATTTGTTCCCTTTAAATCATTGGATCTTTATGTTGGATCATCAAGAAATTCGAGATCTATAGTAGAAGCGTACCTGAATCAGAATAGTTAATGCAATAATCGAATCCTACGGCTTAGTCTTCCAAATCAATACGTAGTCTACTTTTCTCTCTATGATAGGATGCGGGAGAGAATGAACAATACAATACACTCTCTCTACGTGTGATTCAGGGACCAAAACCATTTATATATACTGATGCTCTTTGACCTAATTCGGTCTATCATAGAATTGGGAATTTGGGCCCAGTCTCCAAAAGTATAGAACTCACACTTTAATTGGATACATAATGGCCCAAAATCGAAGCCTTATTAGATCACTTTAAAGGGGTTCAACCGAATTCGATAGCCTTTAATTTAATAAATGATAATTTACACATATAAGCTCATACGATCGTTTAAAATTCCTTACAAGTCATTGTTGTTGTATTATACTTAATGAACTGCCTTTTGACTTATGTCGAGCTTATTGACCTCTGAAGGGAAGGCTAGCCAGCGAGAGATTGCGTCAGGCATGGGAATTCCTTGGTGCCAAATAAACGATCCATGTCAAGTATATATATTGAGGTTCCATTAAAAGTTCAATCTTATTTAGAGGAATCTCCAAAAATTTTATATGTTGATTAAGACTATAACTCGTTTATTTAATTGATTTGATTGCTGGTATGAGTTTTTTGGGCTTTGGTTCTATATTGATTATTAGAGTTTCTTCTTAAGAAGTTTATTATCTTGCTATGAGGAGTAACTCAAGTCATTACATATTTAATGAGATTTTACTCTTAATACATGAAAATTAATTACAATGACATGTATTAGTTGTCTTAAAATCAATTCCACAAACTTTAATTAATAAATTTAATAGTTAAATAGTGTTTCTCATTTTTGTCCTCTAGAAAATGACAACTAGCAAAAATGAAGATAAAATATACTCCCAATGTTTGATAATAACAAACTTTTTATGCATTGTCAAAAAATCATTGCAAGAAAATTAACGAAGAAATCGAATGACAATGAAGGAAAAAAGAATAATGAAGCTTTACAGTATATGGAGTATTTTTCAGAATGCCAAATTCTTATTAAAATGAACACACTGATATGTAGAAATCAAAAGGTCCTAACTTTAGATCCTAACATTTACTAGACTTGAAAAAGGTCCACATATTAAATTCCTTTAAATAATTTTCTCGAATTTGAGGTATATAAAATTATTTTTCTAATGGTACAAATTAAACTAACAATTTGTCCTTGAAAATTGTATACAATTCAAAACAAATTAAAAGTGAAATCTTCATACGATGTTTTACATCTTCAACATATAGTACAAGCTCTTCGGCTAAAATAGATGCATAAATTTCGTCGATAGAATATGCAATTTATAATGTGCCTCAGCATCAGCATGGGGGCATATCTGGAGGTGGAGGCAACATTCTAGCATCTTTTCCCTTGCCATTTTTGGTAATGAATGTCATATCCATTCCCCAACTTAAATGGCGATCTATATGGCAATGCAACAACCAAACTCCTACATAGTGAGGTAGGGTTTCAAATAAGCTCTGGAAAATATGACGAAACGATAGGAAAAAGATATATATCGACTATAACAACCAAGTCGAGAAGATAATGTCACGTACCAGGATTTTTTGCTTGGAATCTGATTGTTGTCCAACCGTTTATAGGAACTGCGATAGTGTTCATTAGTGGAGGGTCGACAAGATTATAAGTTGATGGATCATTGTCTTTGTCAAAGTTTCCAAATCCCCATCCAACTACATAAAAGCTATGTCCATGTAAGTGCATAGGATGGTCTATTCCTCCAACTGTGTTTGTTCCCTGGAAAACAATCTCCACTGAAGAATTATATTTAAGAACTCTTATTTTTGTGCCATTTTGAGGTCTCCATAGGGCTCGAGGAATATTATCTGCAGTATAATTGAAAGCAAACGGTGGATAACTAGGAAAGTCGTCGCCATAGACATTTCTGATGCGTTGGTAGTAAGCCTGAAGAATTGAAATGGTTGGCTGTACGAATGTTATGTTATTCATACTTGCTAGAAGCCTCTCGTTAAAAGGTCCTACACATGAATCATTTGGACAAGGGGTTAAATTAATGGAAAGTGTAAATAAAAATGTATTTGTCACATTTTTTGGCACGTCGACTGGATAATCCTTATTTCCTAAACTTCTGAGTCGTCCCGTGAAATTAACTGAAGCATTTGTATCATTGAACGTGGGAAGCCTGGGAAGCAATGGAGACGATGGAGGGGTATAGTTCCCTCTGTACTCGATAATAGCTGTTGTGGTTGTGTTGTCGTAACTTGCAGCACTCGCATAAGCGTGGGCAGCCATGTAGTAGTGACTAGGTCTTTGGTTAGCTTTCAACAAGAAATCAATGGTTTGTCCTGGAGAAATGGCAATATAATCACTTCTAATTTGCTTCGTGTAGCTAGCATCCGATCCAACAACGGTGACACTGTGGTTTGCAATAGAAAAGAACATAATGTTGTTCATGACGGCATTAACCATTCGAATCAAGTAAGTTTTCCCATATTCCACTGTCAGCTTAAATGTATCTGCATAGAGAAAATGATTACAGTTCAAAGTTTAATCTTTTTTCATTAGATTTCATTAGGAAATGGTTTTGCATTTGACTTCTTGATTGATTTCACTCCCTGTAAGTGTGGATCCATTCAATTCCAACAACCCAACCAATAGAGGAAATAAGGAAGAAAAAAATAACAATGGAGGGAATCTTTTAAAAAAAATAATAATAATAACAAAGAAATGAAGTGGCATAAAAATGAAGAAATTAAATTGATTCTCTTAATAGTTATTGTATAACATACTTATATAGAGAGGGTGGGAAAATCATTTTGAAATATAAAGTATATGATAATGTTATATAACTTCAGTGGTTTTAAAACACTAATTTATGTAGAAAGATATAGTAAGTTCAATTAAATGAGTTCGATATTCTTAAATGTAATTGAACATATTGTATTTTGACTTAACTTTTATACTTTTACAACATCGAATAAACTGCAATTAGTTACCCATCAATGAATAACCTTTTTTACTTTGTGGACCTAAATTTGCAACCATGTGTATGCCTGTGTAGTTCTATATCTTTAAATCTACAATAAAGTTGTTGACTTTTTCTTTTTGTACAAGATGTTTGTTCAAGAAATTGTCTTACTCGGAGGGATTTTTTCTTGTTGTACAGTTTGACTAGGACTGTTCGGATTGTACAACTTATAGCCCCCTCACTGAGGTGGGAGCCGCGCCGTTTTTTTATTGGTGCGGGCGCCCCGATGTGAGGGAACTGTAAGTCATCCTGTGTGCCGAGCTATGCACACAACACTGGATTTACGAAAAAAAATATGAATACTGTTACTTTAAGAAACATAGTAAAAGGACAAGAACTAATTGGATATGTTTGCATAAACTTGAAAAGTTCTCTTATCAGTAAATATGAAAGTTTTGTAATAAAAAAAATTATTTATGAAAATTAAAAATACATAAGTGACTTATTTTGATAATAAAGTAAGAATTACATTCAAAGTAAATAACTTTCTTTTGTTAGAAAGTATGAAAAATGTTAGTTATTCAAAGAAGTTAAGGGGAAAAAAAATATAATTGGTGAATGGAACCTACCATTAACTTATTCACTAATTAAATGGTGTGTCATGTTACTGGTGCTTAACATAAGCTAAGTATCGGTGCTTAAGAGATCATTTCCGTATGTGTATATATATATATAGGCAATTTCTACTTTCCTTTAAGCTTAAAGCCGGACATGTCTCTCAGTCTGTATGTTTGATAGTGCTTAACCATACTTACTTTTAAGTTACTTAATCATCAAATGTTATTTCAGAGTAACAACTATTGAGGCTTACTTTTCAAACAAATTAACATTTAGTTGGAACCACTTAAGAAACTAACCTGATCTTGAGCATGGATAGAAATCACCAGGTTGACCATTTATGAGGAAAGCATCAGAAACATTTGGGTCCCCTCCATTATCAAGAAACTCGGTCAGAACTGCCTGTATATCACTTTTCCACCATTCCCCTGTATTACACCACCAACTCCAAACATTCAATTTCCTTGTCAATTATAATTATTTTTATTTTTTTTTTTTTTATTTTTATTTTTGTTTTGCAAAATCATGAAACATTTAAATATACAATACCTAATATGATGGGCACTTCTGCATGAGGCTTACGAAAAGGATAATTATTTTTCTTCTTGGGATAAATTACAATTGCGCCGTGCACAGTGGCGCGTGACCAATCGCTATGGGCGTGCCACCACAAAGTTCCTATCTCGTCCGAAAGAAAAATCTTTTGGCTAAACTTTGACCCGGGTTGTATGGGACATTGAGTAATATACACAGGACCATCTGACCATGGATATCTAGGTTGGTTGACTCCATGCCTACAAAATTGATTTCAGTCAACAAGCAAAAAATATTACCATTAAGTATTATCCAATATTGTGTGCTAAATGTGCACCGAATTGAGGCACAAGTCAACGCATGAAATTCCTACCAGTGAATGGTTACATTTTCACTTGCTCGGTTTTGCACATCAACAACTAATGTATCTCCTTCAGTGGCATATAAAGTTGGCCCTGGAAATTGTCCATTTACTACTAAAATGCTCTTGTTAGTGCAAAGCCTTGTGTATGGAGTATCTGTCAACTGTGAAACCAAAGGAGTTCAAAGCAATTTTTCTTTTTCAAGAAAATAGAGAAAATTGGAGCAAATCTCCATTTTATCATCACTAACTTACGATAAAGTTAGATACGTATTAGTGATATATAAGTAAATATCAATGCACATGAACCTGTAACTTATTTCATAATCTTCATGACAAAAATTAAGCTTACCACAAACTTATAGCGACGGATGAGAGCAGCATGAATGGGCAGCACCCCTCCTAAAAGAAGAAAACCTATTAAATGTAAAAGAGAAACCTTCATATTTAACTGACCCTTTAAAACAAATATATGGTGATGTGAACCTTCCAAGGTTTTTATCTGTTTTTAGGCTATACATTCATATATGCATGCAATATATATAGAGAGAGATGTGTATATATATGTGTACATGGATGCAGCTGGAGGTGAAGAAAAATGAGAGCTGGTTTTGACCACGCTAAACATGAAGATGATGAATTATTGAAGCACGTTTCTTACCAATAAATTATAAATTTGTGTACCAAACGAAGAATTCAAGCAATTTTAAATTTCTTAGATTTTTTAATCTTGAATTTCATTTTCAAAGGCTTTGAATAGTGCTAACTGGGGGGAGGAATATTTGGCTCTTACTTGATGTTGTTGCTTTATTTATCGTGATTGAAACGGATGGATATGAAAACGTAGCATTTATAATGCTTTCTTGACAATAATCTTTTAGTTAACAAATTACATAACAGTGGATGGTAATTAATTCTAAAAGTGTATGTTTGGTAAAACTCAAACTTTCTGACATAAAACATATTGTTGAATGGATAGAAGAAGAATTGGATAAAAATAGGAAAAATATAATAGTAGAGAAAATTGCACGGTGGACGTCATATGTTTTATCCTTCAAACATTTTGTCTATTGCTACAAGTTTTGATAAGTCTACCACTAGTTGTGGTTAGAGCATTTTACAAGTTCTAATGTCTCTTTCTGCAAAAAGTTAAAACCGTGCAGAAATAGAGAACATATAATTTGAGATAGAAAAAATATATAATCTTATAATTTAGTGTAATAGTTTGAATCATTGAAGGCTTTATTTTAAATTCGTTAGTAATATTGTTCGTAAGGGGAAAAAAAAAGGGAGAGAGATAAGGAAAATGATAATTGTCCGAATAAAAATGGTAAAGTTGAGTTTTAGCATTATATTCTTTAGAATTCAGCTTAATTACACAATGAATCTCATAAATGTTGATTGGATGTATTCACGTAACAAAATAAATAATGAGATATGTAGCTTGAAAGTTGGACAACGGGTTGTTAATATATATTTAATCTGCATTAATGGTGACTACGATTGCATTAAATATATATAAATACTAAACGTGTAATCCAAGTTTGTGACCTTTATTTTTCACACGGAGTGTTTAATAACATAGAAAAATTGATAATCAATGGTTGACCAAAAATTTTAGCAAGATTATTTTTGATATGGTCAATGTTCAAGCAAAAAAAAGGAAATTGTAAATTTAGAATTATATAAAAGGAAATTGAATTTTTTTGCATAACTTGTATCTAACCTTTTTAATAGTGCTAATTGTATCTAAAGTTTGTTAAAATCCTTCATATCGCTCACAAAAGTATAGATTTCATTTAAAAAGATAATTACGCTCTTACTCTCTATTGTTCGTACGTTGATAACATAAAAGGACCATTTCAACAAACATTCGTTTAGATTTGAGAATAATGGGCCTCGTGACTAGCACGACCAATAGTAAGGGTACGTTGATGATGAGCAATGGCTGTTCTATTTTGAGAATGAAAATGATTTTTATTTATTAAAAATGAAAAGTTGGAATCAAAATATCAAGAAAAATTAAAGAGGGATTTGGAAACTATAGAATACAGATTGTATAATTAAAAAAATAAATTGTGTCATTATAGCGATAACACTCGTAACTTTGGAAGGAGTTTCGTGTCAAGTTTAACAATTGTGTAGAAAAGTCATTAGTCTTGGTAGCCTCGGAAAATCTAGAACTTGTCCTTTTAAGAATACATGTCAAACCCAAAGCTTTGTTAGAGTGTTGTCACACCAAACCCACGTCGGATTGTTAATTGTCTCTTGTCGTAAAAACATTTGAAAAATCTATGTCAATAAATAATAAATAGTAAAGAAAGCTTGAGATTCAATCACATTAGCCGTCGGTACAGAGGGGTTTGCAATTAATCCTCCTTCAACACGTAATAGTAGAAACATGCATTCTCGGCCCTCGAGGCATAACCTAATAGTGCAAAGGACAGGAGTGAGGTAGTCTCAACCTTGCTAACAATCGTAATGTGAAAGTTCGATTCCTAATATATGAAATTGGACTTTTTGTAGGCATCAGCGTACAAGTAAGTTCTTGTACCTTGGCCTCCCTCGTGATGCTTCAGAGACGTGGTAGTGGAGGCTTTCAAGATTGTGGTTCAACCTTTTAAAAACATGCATTCTTAGTAGCAAAATACGTTAAGATTATTCAAATTTAGGGGTCGTTTGATGTTGTAAAAAATTAATTTAAGTTGGTAAATCCTATAAATATGTGATGAAAAATGAATTAAAGTTGTGTGTTCAATCAAGTATGTGAATTTCGATTGAATTTTTAATAAACAAAAATTTTATGAAATAAGTACGTAGCTTGCTCCGAGACTGAAAGAAATCTTCCAACTTACTGTCGGTGAGCAAAAAATAATATTATAATTGATATTTTGACAGCAGCCTAACCTTTTTCTTGACAAAACTAAGAAATGTAAAATCAATTATTTGTGGCCCATGTAATATGAAAGAAATTAATTTAAGGTGATTAATATTACTAAAATCCTATTGGCCCAATTGAGAAATGGTAGTTTTATAATTGTCTACTTTGATGGAAAGTTGAGAGTTTTATGACACAAAATGAGACTGCCTCTCTCTGCCTATAAATGTGAATGAAACCCATCAATTAATTCATTCAATAAAAGAGAGGAAAAGTGAGAGAACGGTTTCTTTAATTTAACAGTTTATTATTTTGCAAATCTAAAATTCTCAATTATTGCCATGGATCAAGGTATGTTTCTTGATCAATTAAATTCATATGTGAAAATCATGAATTCTAAAGATCTTGGCATTAGGGTTTAATGTCTTACATGTGGTATCAGAGCCTGGTTATGGAATTTATGATTTTCCTTTAAAGATTATGATTTTCTACTTATCGATCTTTAATTTTTATTATAAATTTATGAATGAAATATGAAATCAGATTCAAGATCTAGATTCTGTACTGTCTATTTTACCAGAATTAAATCTGCTATTAGGAGTTTCTGTTGAAATTAGTCGCTGTTATATGCATATGGCCATTCATTGCGTATTTAAATTCTGGTTCTTCATGGTTCTTTTTCATAATTCCGTGAAGTGGTTGAAAAGGGCATAAAAAATTAATTCATTAAATGTGTGTCAAAATGATCCAGTACACGCCACTATATCAATTGACTTTGTTTCAATTGTTTATTCCAATTCCCAAGCATGTCAGAATTATGGTGTGATATATGGGGAATTGTGTACGGTAATTGCAGAAAGAAATTTTTTGAAACTTTGGAATATATATGCTGGGTAATTAACGTTGGATTCAGACAATGACCCCAAATTTCAAGATTGATAATTATGTATTTTGGGTCATTAAATGAGGCTTGATGAATTTGCTATCGTCCTGTTCACACACACACATATTCTACCGTTATGCTAATAGTCAAAGGATGGATTTATTATGTATTTTGATAGTAGATGATAACCTGTAATACTTGAATAAACAAGATAATAATTAAAAAATATTAAATGATAAATATTTTATTTATGTAATTAGTATTTGATTAATGTTGTTTGTTAGTCACCAAAGTGGCCAAACATTATGGTATTTTGAACGCTAAATTACATAATTTATTTATCAATTACTCTTGATAGTTTGATGCTTGTAAATGAAAATGACTTCATTATTGGTGTCAAGAGTATATTGAAGTTCAAAGATTATAAAATTATTATGGATCGCCCAAAGGTTGATCAGTTAATTTTATTAATCTTGAACATGATCGTGGTGAATTGATTTACTTGGTCGGATGTGTTTTGTATATCCAAAGATATCATACATATTTGATTAGAGTATGTTTAATTACCAATTAAGTGAAATTAAATTAGCATCATTATATTTATTATGATGGTATAACGTAATATCACCCAAAGGAGAATTACGCTATACATTTATTGTTATTTGAATCTGAAATTAAAACTCAAAGTATTAATGTTAGAGCATTTTATATTTTGCAGTATCTGTTCCCGTTTCTCTGCATTCGCATGCTTCATCTGTACCACTGTTCAATGGGCTCAATTTCTCTGACTGGTGTGAACAAGTTCAGTTCAACTTAGGTGTTTTGGACTTGGACTTGGCACTTCAAGTTGAGAAACCTGCTGATCTTACTGATGAGAGCAGTGCTGATGAAAGATCTATCCATAAAACTTGGGAAAGGTCAAACAAATTAAGCTTAATGTTTATGCGGATGACCTTAGCAAAGAATATCAAGTCTACTATCCCTAAAACTGAGAATGCTAAGGAATATATGAAGTTTGTGGAAGAACGTTCCCAAACAGCTGACAAATCACTTGCTGGCACACTGATGAGTACCTTAACCACCATGAAATTTGATGGTTCTCGTACCATGCATGAGCACGTTACTGAAATGAGTAACATTGCAGCAAGACTTAAGACTCTTGGGATGACTGTGGATGAGAACTTCCTAGTACAGTTTATCATTAACTCTTTGCCTCCCGAGTACGGTCCATTCCATATGAATTATAATACCTTAAAGGACAAATAGAATGTGAATGAATTGCACAGTATGCTCGTGCAAGAGGAGACAAGGCTTAAGAATCAAGGAACTCATTCTGTTCATCTCGTAAGTCATCAAGGAGCTGGAAAGAAATATAAGAAAAGATCTGGAAAGGGCATTAAGCAAGGACCACTAAAGATAAATGAGTCTTCTGCCCAAATCCACAAGAAGGAACACAAGAAGGATACGTGCCATTTCTGTCGCAAACCTGGGCACCATAAAAAGGACTGCCTGAAACGTAAGGCATGGTTCGAAAGTAAAGGTAAGATTATTTCTTACGTATGTTTCGAATCTAATTTGGCAGAAGTTCCTTATAATACTTGGTGGATTGATTCCGGATGTACCACTCATGTTACTAATACGATGCAGAGATTCCTTTCAACCCAGACCATAAATCCAAATGAAAAGTTTGTCCTCATGGGAAATCGAGTCAAAGCTCCAGTTGAAGCCATTGGAACCTATCGTTTGATTTTAGATACTGGACACCATTTAGATTTATTTCAGACTCTATATGTACCTTCTATTTCTCGTAATTTAGTTTCCTTATCAAAACTTGATTCTGTTGGATATTTCTTTGATGGTGGAAATGGATGTTTAAATTTGTTTAAACAAAATCATCTTATCGGTTCTGCTATTCTTTGTGATGGCTTATATAAATTAAAGCTTGATAACCTCTTTGCCGAGACTCATAATATTGGTACTAAACGTGGTTTACTGAATGAACGATCTGCTAACTTGTGGCATAAACGTTTGGGTCACATATCCAAGGAAAGGATGGAAAGATTAGTAAAGAATGAAATCCTTCTTGACTTGGATTTTAGTGATTTTGAAACTTGTGTGGATTGTATTAAGGGTAAACAAACCAAAACACACAAAAAATGAGTCACAAGAAGCACATAGCTTCTTGAGAT